TGGTGAGCTCGGCAGTCAGGCGGTCGATCTCAGTAGTGATTCGCTGGCGGGCTTCGTCTGACTCGCGCGCGCGATCTAGTGGAACTCAGTCAGGGTACGTGCAGCCCGATATAACGTGCGCGCACCTTCATCTTCCCTGTCACGATGCATGGCCGCCGCTATCGACTGCTCAAGCTCCTCGCGTAGCTCCGCGATCTCCAGTGATGTAGTCGCACTACCCGCACGCTCCGCAGCAAGCTCAGCTACCCTCCGATGAGCCTAATGCGCGCACGTATCGCTAATGAGCCTACCTTCTACTACGTCTATCTTGACTTGAGTGGCACGTTCCGAATTGCGTGCGGCGGCGAGATCGGCTTTCAACCTGTCAATCTCAGCATTAGCTTGTTGGCGTGCCTCGTCGACCTCGCGGATGTGCTCTGCTAGTAAAAATATCCCTCAGCATGATAACACTTCATCTACCATTGAACGCACCTATTCCCTTCGCAGCGTCCCGAGAAGCATCTGATCTGGCATCCTCAAGCTCTTTCTTCGTCTGGGCAAGCTCGGTGATAGCCCTAGCTTCATCTGTACGCTTCTCAGATAGCGCATCTACTTCCGATGAGTGAGGGCCGGAGTATATTGACCGGATTAAGTACCTTCGAGATCCCGAATCTTGTTACGCGAGGCTACCCCAGTCGTCGAAGCGGCGGCCAGTTGATTACGAAGGTCGGCAATTTCTGCGTCGGCGCGTTGCTGTCCTTCATTCGTCGTCGAGTCTTTCTCTTCAAAAGGTGCATTTAGTTCCCCGCTCTACGTCTACGTGCCACACAAACCTGAAGATAACTCCGAAGCCACTTCATCTGCCGTCGCTTGTTTCTGTCTGACTAATTGAAGGACATCTGCGCTTGGTCGTCAATATTAGGGAATGGTGAAGGAGAAGGCTGACGTGCGTTCGAGCGTCTGAACAGTTCGTTGTGTCTCCTTAGTTGTTTCTTCGGCGGATGTCAGCTTGGTCTTCAAGTCTTCAAGTTCTGCATGCAAAAGGGCACGGGCGTCTTCAGCGTCGGTTGCCTCAGCTGAAAGACATATGTAAATGCATGACACGCCGAAGGATTGTATCAATATACCTTCGAGCTCTTCGATCCTGTCTTGCGCCTGCCCTAGGCGCGTGTTGACTTCATCAATCTCGTCGGCAGCGAGCGGTGTACTAGCGCCTGCGGCTTCGCGTGCAGTTGCTTCCTCCATGGTCTGGGATGTAGCATTCGCTTCTGCCTTACGCGATGCGTCCAACTCCGCTGCGGATCCGTGAGCTACATCCAGGACGAGTGGCCATCATCTTACCTTCCAACTCCGTGATGCGAGCCTGTGCGTCTTTCCTGGCCGCTTCTTCACTCGTGTACTTGCTCTGCAGATTCTGTAGTTCCTCTGCGACGCGCTTTCGGGCCGAGTCTTCCGCAGCCCGCGCTCTTTCTACCCCAGAGTAAGCTGAGAGGAGGACGCGTATGGACGTTGACTGACGCTCAGCTTTGGTACAACCTGCCTCCGCGGAAGCAAGACTGGCAGTGAGTTCCTCAATGCGCGCGTTAGCTCCAGATATCGATGACAGATGGTCGTCTCTCTCTTTCTCCGCGGACTTCAAGCTTTGTCGAGTAGTAGCGAGTTCCTCTGACGAAGGTTAGATCCTAGTATTGTGCTGAAAGGAGACTCCTCGCTACCTTTGAGTTCATTCTGACGTCGAGAATGTGTCGATTCCAACGTCGAGATCTTTGCTTTCGCGGCATCTGGGTTGTTCTTAGTAGAGGCACTTCGTTTGTAGGATGAGTCTGTACACACCTTCTGCTTGCTTGGCGTCTTCTTGAAGGTCTTCCACCGCCTTGCGGACTTCGCGTAGTTGCGATTCGAGTTCGTCTCGTAGCGTCAAGTCAACACCTAACGCAGAGTGCAACGCGACGCACTCACCACGACGTGTTACGACATCTTTCCGTGCGTTGATAGCCTCGTCCAATTGACGTCGGAGGCCTAAAGCGGATTCCGTCGTAGAGGTAAGTTTGACTTGAAGACCATCGATCTCCGCTTGCATCTTCTTCCGAGTCGAAGCAAGTGTCTTCATGTGCGCCTCGCGTTCGGCTTGGAACCCGGAGACCAAATCGCCAGTCAACGATTCCCGCGTCTGTACAGCGTCAGATCATGAAGAACGTGATGCGAATGGGCTTAACCTGCAAAAGAGACTTCGCGTCCTTTAACTCCCTCTGGGTTCGTTCTTCTCGCTCGCCAGATAGACGCGGAAAGTCCTCCCACCCCTCAAGCTCCTCAGTTCTCAACTTCTTCTTAAGCTCATCTGAAATAGCGTTAGCTACATGTGATAGACCACAGCGCATGAGTTACCTAGCTCGTATTGCACTCGCACGCGCTCGTCGCTTTCTCTCTTCTCAAGCACTTCCTTCTCCCTCTTCGCCTGGTCCGCCTGGTCCTTCATTAATTCCTTCTCCTGCATCGCATCGTCCCGCTCCTCCTCTAGCGCCTGTTTCTTCTGAAGTGCGGCGTCGCGTTGTTGTAAGAGCGCCTCTTTCTCTGCTTGAGCTGCCTCCAACTTCGCCTCAAGAACTTTAAGGTCCAAAGCGGCGCGCTCTGACGAACTCTCCGACTCCTGCCCCTGCTTGTGCTCCAGCTCCTGTTTCTGTGTCTGCGCGTGCGCCTGCTCACTCCCTGCTGCAGACGGGGTTGAAGGATTTGAAATACGGCGCCGAATCTCCTCCTTCTGATGCTCGCTCTTCGTACGCGAAGTATCTATGGCCTCAACTGTGGGGGCTATCTGATCATTGAGCTGGAACGGACTTCACACAATGCACACGGACCTGGCTGGTCATTCAGACGCTTTCGTCCTGTAGCTGCAGGGCTCGCGGCCGTGGATGCACGACCCGTCACAGATGTGGTCGCTACTGTCTGGGCGAAAGTTTTTCCTCGGATGGGTTTCATAACAGGAGCGGGACTTTGTCCTCGCGCGGCGAGAGCTCCTCCCCTTCCCCGGGCTGCCGATGCTCCGGCGGGTGCAAGCCGTCCTGTATTGAACGAGCGCCCTCTACCGGAGGCGCCTCTTGCAGTAGACAGAGCACCCCCCCTGGTGGATGAGCGCCCTCTGGCGGCGGTAGCTGAGGTCTCCCCATCGCGAATGGGTGTCGGTGGACCTTAAACCGCGATAAGTGTCCTTCAGCAGACGTCGCATGCTTCTAGTGCGATGATCACTGACCTTGAGACCTAGTTTTCCTTGCTGTTACCCTTGCGGAGGGTGGCGGAACCGCATCGGCGGATGGCGAAGGACCTTCTTAAGCGGGATCGTATCAGGGAAGACTATGATCGACGAGGGTAAAGCTTCGGAAGACATACCGGGTCCCTCCTCTCCCTTATCCGGGCCAGTCTTCATTACAGTGCCGTGGTAAAAACAACTGGGACGATGGCGGCGGAACGTATGTTCAGGATGATGTCGACATCAGTCCTTGCCCTTTCATGGCCACGTGCGGAGCGCGAGGATAGTATGCAACCGATGTTCTATCACCAACAGACATAGTCCGCGCTAGGGTCCGGAACAGCTGATTCGAACAATTCACCACACGCGTGCACGACGCTGAATAAGCTGGTAATTATTTTCGACGCAGCCTCAAGGAATTGGGTGCTCTATGCTACACCAATTCAGCACAAGATACAGTATTGATCGACATAGCAATGCTTCGCCGTTCCTGTCCGATTCGCCGTATAGCTGGGTATAGTAACAGAAGGCGGCGCGTTCCAATTAGGAGCGACATCAGAGGCAGGTATCGAAAAGGTGTTCGTCCGTATCTATAAGCGCTTGGTGAGCAATCGTGAGACAAATGACACCCAAACTCGCAGGTTGACTCACGAGGCGGTATGGAATTGGCGGCCAAACGAGCGTCCTGTGAATGAGGGGACGAGGCACACGCTGACGCCTAGGACATTTCGAATGTCCCGAATGAGAGGCGGTCGAATGCCGGGAGGCACTTATGCTGCGTTCTATTCGTGTGTTCAGTGACTGGTGAGCGCACATTGGCGGTCCAACTTGAGACGTACCAGCAATATACCAGCCCTAACCATAACCTTGGTGCTGTATGGTGTTATACAGAAGAACTGTTGCCGCGCTCGTCGTAGAGGCTGGCGATATCCTATAGACGCCAGAATTAGGACGAATTGGTAGTAAGCACAAGCGGAGAGGGCAGACGTTGGTGGTAGCGAAGCAACCAGTCCCATGTGCGTTGCGCGTCTCCGAGCGTCCTTGCGGTGCGCGAACTCGCACGAGCACGCTTGAACCGCGCGACCACGACGGGCACCGCTACCTGCGCCGCGACGCTGTTATGATGCTCGAAAATCATGATCCCGAACCCAACATTGCACAGCTTGATGCTAGTACTGAGTGCCTAGTGACGTCTCGAACTGCTCGCGCGCGTTTGAACTTTCCCAGCTGTTCACTGGTTGAAGTGGGCCGACTGTCGGCAGAAACGAGTCATCCCTGACACAAACC